GTGTTCTAGTGGATCTATAAATGTAAAGGTGATGTTAGATTGATGCTCGATTGCTGCTTGTGTGTTTTTTATCATCTCAGTGAAAAAAGACTAAACACCAACAAATATGGAAGCAGAAAAGTTCGTTTGAAAGAAAGATGAATCTTTTGTTGACTTTTGGAAACATTTGAATCACAGGATTCAGAAACAATCCTACAGACTGATTCTACAAACAGTATAATACTAATAATATTAGTAACCTGATCTTTATCAAACTGGATTAAGATATGAAAGTAATTATTAAAGCCCATTCATTTTTCATTTGCTCCCAGGTCTGTTTCACAGTGCCGGGGTTACAGCTGAAAGAGTTATTCTAAAATATTCTCAGGTGTGTGTGTGTGTGTTTACCTGGCCTCAGGTGTCCCACAGTGTCAGCCAAACTTCCTTTCTTCACCTTCGTGATGAACGCACAGAGACGACCAGACTCCATCACCTTCCCCCCGACCACCTGACAACAAACTGACCATCAGCAAGGCACTAAAATGAAGAAGAAGAAGTAAAAGAAGGAGAAGAAGGAGAAGAAGGACAAGAAGGAGAAGTAGAAGAAGAAGGACAAGAATGAGAAGGAGATAAAAAAGAAGGAGAAGAAGGAGAAGTAGTAGAAGAAGGACAAGAATGAGAAAGAGATAAAAAAAAGAAGGAGAAGGAGAAGGAGAAGAAGAAGAAGAACTTCACCTTGAGTCCCAGCAGGGATCCCATATCCGCGGCAACTGTCCCATCCTTCATCCTCTTATTCAGCAGAATTCGACCAATCAGACACTCTCCATCTTTGGACTGTTGCCATGTGACCGGCTGCTGATGAACAATAAACACAAGCGGTCATTTAACAGTTCAGTCCAGTCATATGTTTATACGAGTGGATACTAAGAGGACAGTTGTTTGCCTGGTGAACACGGTGACAAAGTTTCTGTTTTCTGGGCATCGACCCAACAATAAAGAATAAATATTAAACCTTAAACATTAGATATTCGACATAAACCTCCATGTATCAAATATTCATCATAGAAAGAGTCATAATGCCGTCTGAGGCGTCCTGTCAACAGTTTTACGGACGTCTCTTTGACAGAGGTCCAATCAGTCAGACAAGTGGGGGACAGACATGATGGAGGACAGACAGGATGGAGGACAGACAGGATGAGGGGACAGACGTGATGGGGGATAGACATGATGGGGGACAGACATGATGGAGGACAGACATGATGGAGGACAGACATGATGAGGGGACAGACATGATGAGGGGACAGACATGTGGAGGATAGACATGATGGAGGACAGACATGATGAGGGGACAGACATGTGGAGGATAGACATGATGGAGGATAGACATGATGGGGGACAGACAGGATGGAGGATAGACATGATGGAGGACAGACATGATGGGGACAGACATGATGGGGACAGACATGATGGAGGACAGACATGATGGGGGACAGACATGATGGGGGACAGACATAATGGAGGACAGACATGATGGAGGACAGACATGATGGGGGACAGACATGATGGAGGACAAACAGGATGGGGGCCAGACAGGATGAGGGTACGGACAGGATGGGGGTGGGGTTAGATGGATCAATAGAAGGGGTGGGGCTTAGATTGATCAATGGGCGGGGCTTAGTCCTACCATGGACAGTGGCGCAGGCTCGCTGTGCCAGGAACCACGATCCCACCGTTGGCCGTCCATGTCTCCTAGAAGGAAAGAGAAGAGTTCAGAGGGTTCTAGTGAAAGAATAATAAAAGAGGAACTAAATGGTTCTCAGAGACACACTGCTGGTCCAGACATGAGAGTTTGCACCAGAGGGACGGTCATGGTTTTGTTTCCAACACTATGTCAAGGACCCACATGCAACACTCACACAATCCACCAATCATTTACCTCAAGGTCGTGGACTTTGGTTCTGGTTTAGCACGGTGGGGAACGCACACACACACACACACACACACACACAACCTTTCCTGAACCCTCTGCTGGGTTCTGAATCTTCAGAAGGGTTCTGAACCTTCTGCTGGGGGTTCTGAACCTTCAGAAGGGTTTTGAGTCTTTAGGAGGGTTCTGAACCTTCAGAAGGGTTCTGAACCTTCAGCTGGGTCTGAGTCTTTAGGCCAGTTCTGAACCTTTAGCTGGGAGTTCTGAACCTTCAGAAGGGTTTTGAGTCTTTAGGAGGGTTCTGAACCTTCAGAAGGGTTCTGAGTCTTTAGGAGGATCCTGAACCTTCAGATGGATTCTGAACCTTCAGAAGTGTTCTGGGTCTTTAGGAGGGTGCTGAACCTTCAGAAGGGTTTTGAGTCTTTAGGAGGGTTCTGAACCTTCAGCTGGGTTTTGAGTCTTTAGGAGGGTTCTGAACCTTCAGAAGGGTTCTGGGTCTTTAGGAGGATTCTGAGTCTTTAGGATTCTGAGACCTCAGCTGGGTTCTGAACCTCAGTGAGTCCAAAGTGAGTTTATACAGAAGTTAGCGTACCTTACTGGTCGCTAAGGCAACGGTACACATAAAATGGCGCCACTCTGAACATGTGAAACATGTCGTCTGTAATCCATCTTTACACACAAGCAGCTTTAGACAGACACACACACACACACACACACACACAGACACACGCATAGACACACACAGACACTGCAGCCTACATACAGGTCTGTCTGAGCGCCATTAAGTATGAAGAGGATGAAGAGGTGAACGTACAGCTCCTCCTCAGTGTTAGGGTGTTGTTTGTCCTGAGTTCTGTCTGCAGGCTGTAGAGCAGTTCAACCTTTCTGTAATGAGATTTACTGAATCTAAACTTTGATCCCATCCTGCTGTCTGTCGCTTATTGTTAGCATAATGCTCAGCTAGCTTCCTACTCACTGCACACTTATTAAACTGCTGTTAGCCTATTAGCCTGTTGTTAGCCTGCTGTTAGCTTACTGTTAGCCTGTTACGAGCCTGCTGTTAACCTGTTGTTAGCTTGAACTGTGACTTGGCATGTAGATAGTTTGGAAGTCTAAAAGTGATCTGGTTGGTCAAACAGTAAACTAGATGCTGGTGGACGTTGGCTAGTTGTTGTCATTATTACAGTGCTGATCCCGCCCCTCTCCTCCTGCATCACTACCAGATCTGAGCCACAGAAATCCAGCAGATCACCATGAAATCCAGCAGATCACCATGAAATCTCCAGACCTCCTGATCAACGGAGGATCCTGTAGTTG